AAAAAAAAAATAAAATGTTCATGTTCATATTTAGTTGAACTAACTAACATGTGTATTTGTTGTATCACATAGTATTTCTGGTTGTGGGTTACTGTCCGATGGCATTACCAGGTTTACATGCAAGGGCCAACCAGTCTATCACTTCATGAATACCAGCACATTTACTGAGTTCACAGTGGTGGAAGAGTCTTCTGTTGCTAAGGTAGATGACGCAGCTCCTCCTGAGAAAGTCTGTTTGATTGGTTGTGGATTTTCCACTGGATTTGGGGCTGCTGTTAAGACGGGCAAGGTAAGAAACAGACAAGGTCCTTACTCCCTCCCTCCTATGTTGCTTTCCTCCCTCCCTCGTTTGCTCCCTTCCTTCCTTCCTTCCTTCCTTCCTTCCTTCCTTCCTTCCTTCCTTCCTCCCTCCCTCCTTCCCTTTCTTCCTTCCTTGCTTCCTCTCTTCCTTCCTTCTGTCTTCCTTAATTTTTTTAAAAAAACTGAATCTCTTGGAATACTAAAGAAGAGTTACCCTGCTAACAGTGATTCTGGATTCCACGTCTCCTGAGAGCTCTGGGTCTCTCTCCTAGGTAGATGGATGACCGTCTTCTTCTCCAAAGTGTGTCTTTGTATCCACATTTCCCTCTTTACACAGACACTGGTCCATATTGCATTAGGGCTGGATCAGTCAGTTTTCTGTTGCTGCAACAAAATATGTGTGGTTGAGTACTTAGGAACAAAAGAGGTTTACTCAGTTCACAGTTGTGGATGCTGAGAATTCAGGCATCCCATGTGGAAAACTTTTGGTGAAAATCCATGGCCACATGACCCAATGACAGGTAAATGAGAAAAGGTTGGCCATGCACAGGAGAGGTTAGACACAGGGGTCTCACTCTCTACCAATTTAGGGAGCTCAGTGTGGTCTCAAATACCATGTCAGTTCCTCCTATGACAGCACCCCAGTGACCTCATTACATGCTACCCCTAGGCCCTGCCCATGATGGTGCTGCCACCTCTTGCTCTTTTGCATGATGGACCAGGTCTTATTAGCACCTGAGCACATGGAGAAGCTCAATCCCTATCCACTGCATAGGAAAGGCTCACTTTCATGACTACATGAGAGCTGGTTTGTCTTTGCAAAGGCCTTCTTCCAATAAGTTCAGACTCTGAGGTACTGAGATTAGTATTTCAACATATGAGTAGGGGAAACAATGCAATCCATAACAAATGGTTTATAACATGAAAGCAGGGCTGGCCAAATAGCTCAGTGGATTAAAGTGCCTGCAAGCAGGCGCAGGGGCTGGGGGTGTGATCCGTGGACCTGCCATGCCAGTCCTGCCCCCAGGGCACTGAGATGGCAATTGAGATTGAGCATGATAGCACACGCCTGTAATCCCAGCTCTTGGGAGGCCATAGACAGGTGGATCATTAGGAGTCCGATCTAGTACTGAGAACCTGAACATCCTGTAGACCCTTCCCTAAAAAATAAAAACAAAAATTTAAAAATGTAAGCACCAATTAGCTTTTAAGAGTTAAGTTGTGACCCAACTGAGTTAAATGTAAGTAAAATATATACAATTCATAAATTTAAAAAAAAACGTTTTCTCAAGCAATTCACAAACCATGATGTTTCATCCAGTGTTGAGGTCTTAAAAATTATCAGTGTTTTAGTAGATTCTAAATTATTCTCAAATTCTTTTTTTTTCAAATTCTCTCTGAGCACCAAATTCTTTTTAGTTCCCTGCCTGATGTCTCCACTAGGATGTCTCATATTATCTCCTATTATGATCAAAACTACACTTCTACTTTCTCTTCCTCTTGCCTGAAGTACAGTTGCTGCCACTTCAGGCTTTTCTGCCCTGATCTTACCAATTCCTCACCTTATGTTCAGTTCAGCAGCATTTCTTGCCACCTCTACCCACAAGGTATATTTAAAATCCCTCCATTTTTCTCAACTCACTACACCCATCACAACCTGACTCACCTGAGGTGAAGACACCTCATGGGTCTTCTTCACTTCTCAATAATTCCTTTACAAGCCAGAGTCATTTTTATAAAAGAGAGTTAAGATAGTCCAGGTCACTGAGCCACCTGCTCTTGTGCTGTCAGTTCCCTAAAGTCACTAAAGGTCACTTTCTCAGAGAAGATTTTTGGGAGTGTCCCACATCTTAAGCTCTCCTTGCACCTTTAATTTTTTCCCTTAGTAGGTGTGAGAAAATCTTTTTACAGGGAGCTAGCTGTGAATACATTGCATCATGTGACTAACCTCACCTACACATCTCAACCCACCCCACAAGGGTCCTCCCTGAGGTTCAAAGCCCAGGCACAGCTGCATAGGAACTCATTCTAAATCACATTGCTGGCATAAACCATCAGTCCCAGGCCAAGGCCCTTACTCTATCTAGAATACAAAATTTAACTGACAAAAATTCCCTCTTAAAATCTAAATAAGAGGGGGTCTGCCCCTTATCCCAGTTCTTTAAGTGGCTGCTTCAACAAAGCAGTCAGGCTCAGCTTGCTGTGGTTCAATCCCCACAACTCAAGCCAGGCAAACCTGCCCTGAAGGCATTCAGAGCAAAAAATAAATAAGTAAATAAAACCTAAATAAGAGATCTCACAGATAGGTGGGTAGCTAGAAAAAGAAATTCCCGTTTGAGTTTCTGGTGTAAAATGCTGACCCTCAAAATCCAGGCAGTGCTGTGAATAAATTATTAAAGGAAAAAATGGCATTCAGGAAACGGCTTTTATTCTTAATCTCTAGACCCAGACATGAGTTGAAG